GCGACGCGTACGTCAGCCTGGCCGCCCTGCCTGGGCATGATTGGTGGGCAGGCAGGGACGCGTCGCTGAAGACTGTCAACGCGTCCCACGCCTTCAACGAGCTTACACGACCGCGGGGAATCATTGTGAGGGCCGCCTTCGTCACTCTGTCCCTCTCGCACCCGCAGAGGACGCGCCATGAGCGCGAGGGAGACAGAATGACGAAAACGGCTTTCAAAACAAGCCGCTCACCAACAAAAAATTCGATTCCGGTTCAGCGAGCCTAGCGCCGTGGTGGTAGGCAGCCGGCACCGACCGGTACGCACCGACGGCCAACTGGCTGCCTACCGCCACGGGGGTCTTGGTGGAGGACGGCCCAAATTCCTGTCGTAATCGGGACTAAACGAAGAGCAAAATGGTTCTGGTAATGACCGCCAGGTGGCGATGGTCCGTTTAGCGGCTGGCCGGCTGGCCTGGCGTGGCCCGGCCTGGCGCCTGGGCCGTCACGGTGCCTCCGTGCCCGCGTTTGTGTAATCCGACAAGGGAATGAAGCTCCAACGACACTCGGGTAATGACTTAATAAGGCCGGACCGACCGAAAAGTCTCCCCGACACGAAGGCTCCAGCCAGCGATACAGGCATGCTTTCAGCAGCCCGCGGGCACCGTTAAAATTTGAACTGCGTTTAGGGAGCCGTTTAAAACTATGGTGATATTGCAGTAATTGGTGACCTGGTTGGCCACAAGGCGTGCCACTGGTGTGACCCTGTTGAAAATCGTGAGCACGTCGTCGGAGCCACAGGCAGACCTCTGGCAGCCACAAGGCAGGCCGGGGCAAAAAGGTGCCCCGACGGAAGCTCTTCCAGAGAGGCCGCGGTCGTGGCCGTGGCGGTAACGAGGCGAATTTAAATTAAAAAGCAGCAGCCGCGCACCGGTACGGCCGAACCCTCATCACCGGAACATCTCCCATAAGCCCACTCAGGGCTTCTGCTGCGTCACCCTTTCCATCTTCCGAAAACGTTGTCATTTCCATACGCGCGGCGAAAGTGCCTGCTCACCGGCTGTGTTTACCAGAGGGCTCCGTCGCCCCGTCAAAATAGAGCTGTCAAGCCTGATAGCAAGCGTTTTGAAAAATAAAATGCAACGGAGCTGCAGCGTCGGGTGAAGTGCAAAAGAGGGGAAGGAGAGACACGAACGGTGGCCGCTGTCAAGGTGTGGAAGGTGGTCAGGGCTCCAGCCGAGGCTCCAGCCGACACGGGTCCGTCATCGGCCCCATTTTCATGAGGAACGTCCATTAATTGCGGAGGCCGTGATCGGAATGGAGAAAGAGGGTGGTGGCAGTAGCAGCAGAAAGGCAGAAGCAGCAGAGATGCAGCAGGAGCAGCAGAGATGCACCAGCAGCAGTCAAGAAAAGTGCACGGCAGCAACAGCAGCCACTACCCGCAGTCACACCGTCTGCAACCGTTTCATTTTTCAAGAAACCTTTCCTCCGCGCCGTTTGCGCAGGGACTGCGCACCGCACGCGCCCGGCCCAGTGACAAATTCTTCTTCTTATGACCCGGTCCCACTCGTCATGCCCGGCCTTATTCCAGTAATGGCGAAGCACACAAAAGTGCTTCTGCAGGGCCGGGGCCGGCCGGGCCGCCTGGGCCGCCTGGGCGCAAGGTCCGGGTGCCTGTGAAGTACAACGGCATTCGTATTAATGCACCGGCGCGGTGATGAACGATTTAATTTCCATAAATACCGAACGCGGAGTCAGTGCTACGGCCTGGCCGGTCGGCCATTCAGACGAAATGCAAGGCAGGGTCGGGCTGGGCCGGGCAGGGCGCGTAACGTACTCGCACGGCCGCGTCCGCGAAAGCGCTGCCCGCTGCGTGTGTGTGTGTGTGTGTGTGTGTGTGTGTGTGTGTGTGTGTGTGTGTGTGTGTGTGTGTGTGTGTGTATGTGTGTGAGCGCGAGCGTGCAGGAGCTGCGACACCTCGCACGCGGCCCGCGCGTTCAAATTGGCAAAAGCGGCCTCAGAGGCGTACAGCAATTTTCGTGAGAAAGGCGAGAAGGAGGCGAGGAAAAAAGTGTCAGCCTTTATTTTATTCGGAGCGCGTCCGCGGCGCGTCCGTAACGGGCCGACGGACGATGGGCGCGGTCCCTTTCAAAAACTCTCCCGCCAGAATCCCGCTTCTCACCTGCAGAGTCCCAAAAATAATTGGCGCACAAATTTCTCACCTGCGCGCGGAGCAGATCATTTGACCTACCTAAAGTAGACCGACAAAAAGTAGACCGACCTATTTTTTGACCGACCTGAATAAAAAAATTGAATAAAAAAATTGAATAAAAATATTTGCATTTTTGACCGACCTAGACTTGACCGACCTGAATAAAAAAATTGAATAAAAAAATTGAATAAAAATATTTGCATTTTTGACCGACCTAGATTTGACCGACCTGAATAAAAAAATTGAATAAAAAAATTGAATAAAAATATTCGCGTTTTTGACCGACCTAGACTTGACCGACCTTATAAAAGAATTGAATAAAAAAATTCAATAAAAATATTGACCGACCCAGACTTGACCTACCTAATAAAAAAATTGAATAAAAGAATTCAATACAAATATTCGCATTATTGACCGACTTGGTGCCAGGAGGTGGGCCACATTGGCCGGGACTGTCCGGCACGCCGAGACCGCCGCGACGAAGATGGCCGCCGAGGCGACGACCACCGCGACAATCGCCGTAACGGCCACCGTGACGATCGTCGGGGAGATCGTCAGAACCGCAAGGGGAACGACCGCCGGTACCGCCGCGACCGCCGCTAGGGGCGCGGCGCGGCGCGGACCTACCCCGGCGACTCCGTCATCGCCCCCGCTGCACGCCGACCCCTCGTCGCTTGCGCCGCCGTGCACCCTGGAGACGGTCACCCCGTCATCGACGTCCTCATCAACGACACGCCCTGCCGCACGGTGGTCGAAACTGGCGCCGTCATCACGCTCGTTCTGCGCGGCCTCCTCCCCGGCCGGGCCCCGCCCCGCCGAAGGCTAACATGCGGATTCGCGGCGTTTCCGGAAGAAGTGACGGACGCCTTCGGCCCCCGACGAGCGACGTTCCGGGGATCAAGACAATTCGGGACGCCATGGAGCACAGCGAGGACCGGCCTCGACGGCGGCCTCGACGGCGGCCTCGACGGCGGCCTCGACGGCGACCTCGACGGTGGCCTCGACGGCGGCCTCGACGGCGGCCTCGACGGCGGCCTCGACGGGCTCGACGGAGGCAACGGCGTCAAGTGCGCCAAAACCCCCCCGCGCTCTCTAGGAATTCTTTAATTCAAGTCGGTCACTAATGCGAATATTTTTATTGAATTCTTTTATTCAAGTTTTTTATTAGGTAGGTCAAGTCTGGGTCGGTCAATATTTTTATTGAATTTTTTTATTCAATTCTTTTATAAGGTCGGTCAAGTCTAGGTCGGTCAAAAATGCGAATATTTTTATTCAATTTTTTTATTTAGGTCGGTCAAGTCTAGGTCGGTCAAAAACGCGAATATTTTTATTCAATTTTTTTATTCAATTTTTTTATTCAGGTCGGTCAAGTCTAGGTCGGTCAAAAATGCGAATATTTTTATTCAATTTTTTTATTCAATTTTTTTATTCAGGTCGGTCAAAAAATAGGTCGGTCTACTTTTTGTCGGTCTACTTTAGGTAGGTCAAATGATATAGACCCCCTGCGCGGAATTTAAACGGTGGCAGGAGGACGAGATATGACAATTAAACTCCTGTGTGCGTTTTTTTTCGTTCTTTGCCGCGCTCTTATAACACCTTGCCGAGGCTGACCGACGCCCACCGGGGTGTTATAATGCCGTGGAATTTTTGACGCCAGTGGTGTGTGTGTGAGTGTGTGTGTGTGCGGGGGCAGGCTACGTGTGCGTCGGGCATAAGACGCGCCGTAGTGGGACTCGCTTTTATTGCAGTGGCAGGGCCACTTCCGCTGTTAGCACAAGTCCAGCACTAGGACGCGACGATGAGAAATATCCACGGATGTGTTCGGAAAAAGTCGCCCTGCGCGCGCGTGTTTGTGTGTGTGTGTGCGTGTTCGTGGGAACGGTGGCCGTGCCCGTCGAGATCAATGCGTGGACTCCCATTTGCGAGGTAGGCCGTCCCATTCCAGCAGCACAAGGTCCCGCGCCGCGTCCGCCGCACGCGCGTAAAATGCAATTGCGCACTTAGATCTCTCTATTCTGGCCCACTCGGCTGCAACGCGCGCAGCGCTCTGGGACTGCTAACTGCTAACGACACGCCGTTTTGAAAAGATGGACGCTTTTTCCGTCGTCTCTCTCTTCCCGATTCTAGGTGGCGATAGTCCTGTGCGGTTTGTGACCCGATTCGTCACCCGGAACGCTGATTGGGATCGACAGGTCGCTCTGTCTCCCTCGGTTCGAGATCTCGGTTCGGGGCGCCGCGGCGAGTCCGATAGGCCGGCCGGTGTCAAATGCACCTGCTGGAAAGGCGCCGCCTGCGCCGCCGGACCCAGGCAAGGCAGGCCCGACCCGGACCGCCCTAGTTGGCCTTTGCCACTTTACAACGGCCGCCCTGCTAACGAGATAGAAATTAAAGAGGCGATCGGTCCTTGGAAGATAAAGGGGACCGCCCAAAGGCCGCCGGTAGCGACAGGACAGCGTAGCGACAGCCCGACAGCGCCCCGTGTTTGGCTACCGGAATGCCCGCCTTCAAAACACTTTACTATCGGTGACGGCCGGCCCCACACTGGGAGTGCCAAACGCGGCCGTGTTCTGTGGTTCCGGCGAGCCAATTTTGAGGTTATGTTCGGTCGGTCTCCGCTGCACCCTTCCGCACCTCATGGCGACGCCGACAACGATCGCGTGCGTGCTGTCGCAGTGCATAGTGAGTAACATTCTGGGGGAACGTACACCAATGAAACGAGCAAGCACCCGGATATTTTCCGTGTTTATAGACTTTACGGGCTGGGGCAGGCCCAGGCCACACACGCACGCACTCACGTACGGCCACATAAAAAGCAAGTATTCGTTTGTTTCCCACCGACCACTTGGAGGGTCACCAGAAACCAGGAAGCTCTCGCCGCAGCCTTTGGAGGTGCTAATTGTTGAGATTTTTTTCGGGCGGCAGCGGTGGTTGCGCGGTCGCGAAGACTAGGATCCGTCTTCTGAAACAGAAGAAAACCAAAAGGTTCAAATTTCGGCCTGTTGTTTACAGCGAGGATGCACGGGCCGGTGACTCATTGAATGCACCTGTCCACGAGCGACCCTCGACAACGGTCCTCGACCACCCCACGCGCACCCTAGTCGACGTGTAGTCAGTGCCGCTTCATAACCTCGCCTACTTTACGGCGGCGCCTTATCTCCGAGTCCCCACGCGCTCACTGCCTTCGCCCATCGTAAGACTTTGTGACCGCCGAGAAGAATTCATTCCACAGAACAATAATATCGTGTCTATGACGGAACACTCTAGTCGTGAAATTATGCCGTGAGGTTTTTACGCCAGTGGGTAATGTTACCCTATTGCAACTGATGCAACTCTACATTCCCATTCATCCGAAGCCAGATTGCATCGGACGGACCTAAAAGTCTCGCCTGGGCTCGGCGGGCACCTCGGCCGGCACGCTGGCACGGCATTCCTCGTTTTACGATGGCCGGCAGAGCGATTCCCGGCCAGCAGCCCTAAGGGCCGGACCGAGATCCCCGATCCTGACGCCCACAGTCTTGACTTTCGGGAAACAAGAACTTCATGCACCGCGCTAGGCCGCTGTAAACTTCTCCCAGCACGGCGAGAAGAAAAAACAAAGTTTCTTCCATTTTGTTGTTGATTGCTGGTGGCCGCACGGGAGCTCCTCCTCCCGCGCAGACGACTTGTTCGATCGGAGCAACTCGTCGCATGATTGGCCAGGGCGGCACAGTCGTAAAGACCAAACACGTCCTCTTATCGTGGCTCATCCAACGAGGTGCAAAGCAAGCTTCGTTAGCTCGGCTTTTCCACCGAAAAGCGGCCGGCAGCCCCGCAGCTTTCACTCAAATAACGAGCCCGGTACCGTACCGGCGGAGGAAGGGGAAGATTACGGAATTATCGGGCATCTCCCGAATCAGGTGGTGAAGGCTGAGGGAGACGGACCGGCGGCGCATCTGTCAGTATTTTGTCTGCAGCTAATCACTCTCGGGGGATCGGCCGATCGGCCGCGCGGACAATGCCTCATTCTAAATGTTCTATTTACCCGGCCGGCGGTATCGGCACCCGCATCGCGCATGCGCAGCGCAGTGCAGTCCGTGGGAAGCCGAGCCGCCGACTTGATCGGGCCGTCTGTCTCACTCGCACCCGCGGCGTGCCCCACCGGGGCGCGAGAGAGACAGAGCGCCGTTTGAACGACAAGGTGCCGAAAGCAGGGATTTGCGGGCGTATCGCACGGCCGCATCGGACAATGCTCGCTGTCGCGAGTGTGGGTTGCACCAGTGTGGCCACCTTGAAGAAAAACCTGAAAAAAAAACAATATGCGTTTTAGATTATTTTTTTAAAGGCGAGAGACCTGTTTTTGACGTGTGATTGGTCTAATTGACAGGACATTATTTCTGGCTGCGTATGGGCTAGCGCGATGCTACCACCGCGCGTCCGATCCCCGATAGTTGTTTGAGTGAAAAGGCGCGTAAATCACCGAATCGGACGGTGTGCCGGACGGGCGTGGGTGTGATGGTCGAACCAGAACGAGGTGCGCCAAATCAACCGTAAATAATAATCCGTATGATAATCCAGCAGCCGTTAGCCCGTCGCGTCCGCTGAGGCCTCTCAGCCCGAGATGCCCCAGCGCCGCCGGCTAGTGCTAACAAGGGACGCGTGGCGACGGGGGTGGGGGGTTTCGTTAATTTCAAATCGGAACGAAAAACGATACCAAGGGGATTGGATTGGCACTCCGCATGGGAACAATTTCACTGGTCATGAGTGCGGCGTCGGCTTGAACCAATAAAGCTGACACCGAAGATACACACGGTCCGGCTGAAAAATACGTGTGATAGTTGTGGATGAATTATGGGGCTTTGGGAAATGGGACTTCTAGCGGCGGAGGCCAATGATAAATTGCTTTATCACCGAGTTGTCGACGCGTGTGCGCATGAGAGCAACCAAATCGTCCCAAGCTAGCGCCCCGGGTTTAACGACCCCACGGGAATTTGAACGCACGGCCAACGGAATAGTTTTTGAAATCGATTTACAGAACACACATGCATGAATAAATAACCAGTTGTCACTGGTTTGATCAATTTTCGGCAAGTGGTCCGGGAGCAGGGCGTCTGCTGACAAGTCCGGTGTCTCTAGGTGTCAGCCACTCCCCCCTGTACCTGTTCACTATCAGGGGATCTCTCTTCATCTTCGTATTTAGAGAAGCATCATTTTCTCTTTCATCGGCAGACGCCTTGATTAAGGATTAATAAACCGAAACGGATTTCGCTATCAAAGCTGATGTCACAATCGCCAACCGGTACTAACGAGGAGAAACGCCGCTTCCAATCAGCGGCCTGGAATTTTTCAAATCCGGCACCGTGTTTTCCCGGCAGCGTCTCTTCGACGTGGAGGTGCTTGGCGGCAAGTTGCTCTCTCACGCATCAGTCTTGTTGTTCAACACAAAGGGCGTCCTTGCTTCGGGGCACTGCAGGGCACTGCAGGGCAGAGCACTGTAAGGCACACACCCGAGCTATTTATTCCAACCCGCTCGCCTTCCATCCCTCGGGTCAAAACAGTCTTACACGAGAAGGATGTCGGGGCCACCTCGCGGGGCCGCGGGGCTCGGCTCGGCGGCACAGCGCCTCGGGCTGCGAGGCACACTGGAAAATTAGCAAAGTCAGAAAAGAGTGAGTTGTGCTCCAAAACGGTCATCGGCACATTGGAACCTCGCTTGTGATAGGCCGGCTGGCGAGATGAGTCAGAAAAGTGCATTCATCGTTTCCGTCTCTCTCGCACTCAAAAGGCGTGCAGGTGCGAGAGAGACGCAGGGAGAAATGAAGCTGCTGGAAAAGGCAAAGAAGGGAGCGATATCAGGGGAATCTCAGCGAGAAGGGTTCGCTCCAATTTAAGTGAAACACCCACCCACCCGGCCGGCCAGGGAGTGGGAGGACACCTTAATTTTAGGGTGGCGTGGCACGCACAATCAGTGCCCGAGGTGGGTTGGGTACCTCGAGGTATTTGTCCCTCGTGTCTTGAGGAGAATGCGGTCAGAACGGTCGGGATGGGGTGGAGTGGGTGGAGCCCAAAGGGTGGAGGATGACGTTCATTTAAGCCAACTGACAAACACTTGCCTGCGTTACGCCCCAGACGCAGAACCCAACGCGTGACCCCACCAATGGATTGCTCTCCGAACGAGGAATCCATTGGTGGGGTCACACGTTCGCTTCGAGTGCTGTTTAGCGACTCTGGAGCTCACAGCGCGTCCACCGGACTTCTAGCCCACTGTGCGACGACGAGTGCACTCGCCGTGCTCGCCCAAAAGCACGCAGCCTCTGACCACTCCACTCTAAGCCATAAGTTACCCGGCCGGGCATCAGCGATGGCGCGCGAAGGCGATCCACATTAATACACTTCAATATAACTCCCCTTATCGATCGGTACGAATGAGTTCTCAGAGGCCGGCGCGCCGCGGCCGGTCGTGGCGTTGGCGTGGTCGTGCGGGGGGCGTGTCGGGGGCCTATTTGGAGGAGGAGGTGTTAACAGTGTGGTGCTTGCCTTGTCGGCCGCGGGCATGCCTGCCCCGGCACGGCCACGGCCAGGCCAGCACGCGTAGCGCGATGCTCGCAACCGCACTGCAGCGGCCATCTGTTTCTGTTTCCGGGCGGAGAAAGGCGAACCAGGTGCGCTGCCCATTGTCCACACTTCAATTCCATTTTCCACAGGAAAGAAGTAACTCCGTTAGAGCAGTTTGGAATCACGCTATAGCGCCCCGCGTCACGAAGCCGCGCCATGCCGTGCCGTGCCGCGCTGGCCTGGAGCCATACGAGTCTCCTAATTGCGTCTTATAGGCATAATCCGTGTCTCTGGGAACACGACGGCCGGGCCGCCAGCACGCGCACCACGCGCCCACCCACGGAGTCTAAGTTGTCGGCATTGATCGCAATGTGCCGAAATGCAACGGGCCACTGCACTGTGGGTGTGCCCGCTGGGGCCGTGATGGCGGGGCTCGGACTGTAGTTCACACGGCCGGGCTTGGCGCTTCGCAGAAAGAGGTTCACACCCGGCTCTGCAGGCCTGGCAAGCTTTGCCTATGCGCCAAGGACTGTGATAAGGCCGCGTTCAAATCGGCGGCTTGCCTGTCACAAACGACCACCGCCATTTTGCACGGCCGCGGGGCACGCCGGGGGGGGGGGGGGGGGGCGTATTGCAGAGGCTGCGGTTTCGCGCGGAACGTCACGCCCTGCGAGGACAGCCAATAACGGCACACAGTGGATTTGCCAGATGACGAGAATTCTGGACGCGTTTTGAGCTCCAGAGTCGCTAAACAGGCGTCGAATCGAACGTGTGACCCCACCAATGGATTGCTCGTTCAAAAAGCAATCCATTGGTGGGGTCACGTTCGGTTCGAGTCCTGTTTAGCGACGCTAGAGCTCAAAACGCGTCTAGAATTCTGGCCACCTTTCTGACCCTCTGTGCAGCAAATAAGTAGACATGACTGGAAAATTGTGATCGGAACGCCGGCCATAAAAAGGACGAGTAAAAAGGGACGAATTCCACGCGCCGCGCGCATGAATTCGGTATCGGACACGCCGTGGGCACACTGTGGGCACACCGCCTTGCTTATTTGCAGGTTGTATGACCCCGTGGCCCGTGCCCCGCGCCCCGCGCCGCGCTGCAGTCGCTGGATCAACGCCAAGACCGCCAGGACGGCCGCCAGCGCCAAACTGGCGGTAGTTTTATTGTTGGGGCAACATTCCAGTAGTGTGTGCAGAGTAACCTTGTCCGACGCCTCGCTTCGACCCGGGCGTCGCGATTTCGGTCCGTTTGGGATCAATAATACTGCACCGGCTTTTTTTAACTTTTTGGTTTTGTGCTTTTGCAAATGGTGGGGAAAACGATGAGGAGGCAGTTTCCCGAGTCTGGGGGTGGCAGACCGTCAGCGTGGCCCCAGGCGCTGGGGGCGGGTACGCAAGCGCCCGGGGGCGGTGCAGCGTGCAACGGGGCAGCGGGGCACTGCAGGCGTGTTCGTTCACAGCCGAGCGATGAGTCGTTTCGGCACTCTGTCTCTCTCGCACTCATGGGGCCCTCCGTGAGGGTGCGAGGGAGACAGCGACCAACCGCTCGGCTGGCCGTCCCAGACCACCCCGGCCGGACAGCGACGCGGCCCTCTCCGGGGCCCTCTCCGGGGCCCTGGGCTGTCAAAATGACGAAAAACCCCATCACGGCTTTGAGCCTCGCACCGACACACTGTCGGCACCGCGGAGTTGCAGTGGCGTGGGCACCGGCCGCACAGGTGCGGGTGAGACGGAACGTGGAACGCGCCCAAACTGGCCGGAAAACAAAGCGCGCGCGGCGTCCCTCTCGCAAAAGCGGTCCGGCAAACTTAAAAGTACGAAAATGACACACAAGGCGTGGGCCGCAAAAAAATAAACTTTACAAAGGGGGAAAAACGCGTCGCGATGCGACGCCGACGCTCGGTGACAGCTGCGGGCTTACGGGCTGCCATCGGGCAGCGGCCATCTGTCTCGTCCTTACAGCGCAGTGGACGTGCCGGACAGGTGAAGTAGTGGAACGCTTTTCGAAAAAGCCACTCAAAACGAAGCCGGGGCCTAAAAAAGCTGAAAGCAACGCCTGCGCCGATTGTTTTGCCAAACGCCGCGCGTGAAAGTCGGCGTCGGTCGCTGTATGATTTCCAACAGTGCAGCCCCGTCGGCTCGTCGCCGCGCCGAAAAATTCGTGACAGTGACACTCCTCCCCCTGCCCGTCCTGCCCGTCACGACGTACGGCGTGGTGTGCGTCGGATGATTGCCGCCTTCGAGAGTAATATCGATACGCCGTATCACGATATCGAGATCTCGAAGCACGCCGCGGCCGCGCCGTGGGATCCTAGACCGGCCTGTATTTGCTCTGGCGGCGCCAGCGCGTCACGACTTTCGCGGCCCCCAAATTTCTTGATTGAAACCCCGTCTCATTCTGCGCTGGACGAGAGAGAGAGAGAGAGAGAGAGAGAGAGAGAGAGAGATGTCCATCTCTCTTTCTCTGCGATCCTTATCAATATGATTTGCATTCGATTGACTCCAACGGTTTTGGATATGGGCCCGCCACGCGCCTGTAGCTTAGGCAGCGCGCATCTCTCTGTCTGCCTCTCTCTCTCTCTCTCTCCGCTTCCAAGACGTGAAATGCTTGTGTCAAACTTCCGTCGGGCATCCTTACGCCCGTGTCGGGAACAGTGCCACGCCAACAGCATCCGCCGGCCGTTCCCGATAAATAAAAGCAAGATAGGAGGGAGGTGCTGGAATCGAAAAGTGCCCCGCCGCCTTCGCCGCCAATACACATAACAATAAAATAGTTGTGGTCGTTCGCCACCTCGGCCGGACATGGCGCTATCTATACTGCTCGCCATCGGAGCCACGAGCCACCGCGAGGCGGACGCGACAGGTGTGGTGATACGAGTCCTTTATAATTATGACATCTCCCGGGTCCTTAAAACGCACTGCCCATAAAATGTGATAAGGCCCGTCGCGTGCCGCGAGGAGGCGCCTCGCTAGATAACTTTATTAAAGCAAGCCCATGTCCCAGCGATAAGCCCGACCGCCACACTCGGCAAAGTTCCTACACTGAGCCTTTTCTCTTGGAGTACGCATGAAAAGCTCTTGTTTTGGCTCCACAGCTGACCGGTTTCTGCACATTCAAAACAGATTCCTCAGTATTTTGATGATTTTAAACAGAGAAACAGCTTTCGTTTTCTAAAAGCATCTGCACACACCAAAAAAATAATTGAGAGAACAAGTGGACATTTCAGTAACTGCATTAACGGCAAAAGACGGTTTATTTTTCCTCGACGCTGCGGTGGTGTTTGGATCACGCGCGTCAGGGGCACTGCCAGGGCACTGCCCTCTGATCGGTCGCGAGGCGAGGGGCACTGGCGGACGAAGCTTTGCACAATGCAAATAGAGTGTATGTGGGTCTACTTGCGGTCTGGGTGGTAATTGGAGCAGTGATAGACAAAGCTGTCGTTGCGCGGCCGATTACGGGGAGCGCCGAGGGGAAGGCCGAACAAGAAGTGGTGTACGTGAAAAATAAGTCGCTACAAAAATACCAAGATATACTAGTAAAACACCAAGATATACTAGAAAAACACCAAGATACTAGCAAATACCAAATGGTAAGTAAATAAAAATAAACGGTTTATAATGAAACGAAGTGAACCTACAATAACTGCTCGGTGACTGACGCACTTGAAAGCCTCGGCTCATCCACTCCAGCGCAATGACATCACGAACGCCAATGGCGGCTTGCGCTGTGCGGCGCGGCAGCCAATCAGGAGCGGCGTTTGCGGCGGTCAGTCACGTCTCGGGGCGCTAATTGCAGAAAAGTGGGGGGAGGGGGGGGAGACGGGTAGAGGTCACTGTAGGAGACAAAGAGCATCAAATGTCCTCGCGATGCGCTGTGGAAATGGAGCAGAGAGACAGGCAGTCGCTGCGTTCG